ACATTTCTACTCCTATTCAGAGATCTACACACCTCCAAATGAAACGAGTCTTCAATACTGTTTTGGGAAAGGACAAGGGAGAAGCCCACATAAACAGAGAGATCTTCAACATAGAGACTAATGACGAGTCCTTACACACACACAAAAAAAATAAATGTGCCAATCCAATATCCATTACTGAATTAAAGAATTGCTTCTCTGGATTTTTTTTCTTTTCAGGCATGAAAGATTCATCGAGGTGACAAGGAGGATTTCACAATTTAGAATATGCTCCAGCTGTGACAACAAAAACCAAGATACTGTGTTACACCTGATCTTCAATACTAACTTTTAAACAAAGTCAGTTCTCTCGTACATGGAAACTGCGACAAATTACTGCAATACAAGATACAGTGGGACATACAAAAGTAGTTTAACTACTAAAGTGTGAGGGATTAAGTCCAATTTGTACAGGGACTCTGTTCTTGGCAGTTTTCTTCCAGGCACTTCCATGGCTGTAAAGACAAAGTGTCACCTGGACTGCAGAGCAATGCAGTACTCGTACGTCTGTGCTACTCCTGCTAGGAAAGGGCCCCAAGTGCCAACAGACTTGGAACACTCTCAAAATCAGTTCAGCAGCAAACAACTCCCAAAACATGCATCCAAGTTCACCTGACCAGTCACCAAATTCCAGTGACTCAAGATACAGCTCCACTAACTCATATCTCTCCCAAAAAACAGACAGACATACTCCTCAGGAACGAAATACAGGTTTCTAAGACTAACCTGTGGGATCTAGCAACTGTACCTTTACTGAGCCTAGGAAAAAAATTTAATCCGCTGCTTTTGCTCAACAGCCACTTCTGTTTCAACACTAGAGACCACAGTGATTCAAACCTGTTAGGTCATCCCCGCAGTTTACAGGAGAAAGGCAAAACACTGCGGGAGTAAAAGTGTCTGTATAAGCAAAATACAGACACCAGCCCTGCAGCTCAGTTACCAGCATAAAATAAACTACAAATTTCTTTTTAGGGCCTTTATTTGTCAGCCACACACAAACATGCAAAAACAGACTTGGGATGGAAAGATGTTACTACAGATGCACAGCAAATCGAGTCCTGACCGTCATCTGCTTTGCTTCCACATTTCATTAAAGTCTCCCAGCTCTTGATCAGGCCTCCAGAAGGGCCTTCTACCTTATGAGAACTATTTTGAAGAAGTAAGGAGGTACCATGTAGTCTTTTCAGAATACACACTCCAGAACTTCCTCATGGTGCAAAACAATTCACTGAACGAAACAAGTCAAGGAAAATCCCAGCCATTTTGATCATTTTCAGAAACAGGAACTTGTTACAATCAACCGCAGACGCAACAACCTCACTGGTTTCTAACCCACTTCCTAAATGCAAGCTTGACAGTCTGTTTCTGAGCAAGAACCTTTATAAGAGGAGCCGAGTTCAGATCTACCTATTTTTTCCCTCATCTATCCTGTGTTTTAACATTTGAAAGTCCAGATATTTCCCTTCTCCAAAAGCTTCTGCCTGTTGATACCACCAGAGCCACCCCATTCGAGGCTGGAAGCTGCCTTTTACTTGCCCCACACAATTAAACCCTCAGTGAAACCTTAACACATCTTTCAGAACAATTCTGAGAATCAAACTTCTATGCTGTGCACTAGGATCGCCCTCCCAGTTGAATAACCACAGGTCATACACCCTTAGCGTAGCCCATATATCTCATTCACCCCCTCTGCAATGAGTCTTCTCACTGCAGCAAAATCAAGCTGCTAACCTGCACTTCTTCATGGGAATGCTTCCCTCATTTGCTGTATCTAATTGTAACTTGCTTAACACAACATGGTTAGCTGAAGGAGATGAATCAATATCATTGTGGTGACTTTAAGACAACTTTAAGATGATAAGAGTTTTGTAAGTCCAAAAGGGTCCAAACTCTAACATGCCAGCTGCAACAGCTGGCCCCAAACCATCAGAGCCACATCAGATTTCCATTTGCTTTCTCCCCACAGGGATTTGGGAAATGCATTTAATGCCAACTGGGCTGGAAATTCACTAGTATGAGAGCTGGAATTCAATAAAAGGGTAAATCTCACTAATGAGTCTATGATAGAAACCTAATCGTACTCCAGTACTTCTTTATACGATGAGCCTGTGCAGCACCCAGAGTCCATGCCAAAGAGCAGCCACTACATCCATACTAAAGCCTGTATTTGAAAGCTATGCAAGTACAGAAAACCATACAAAGGTGAACACTCAGCAGCTCAGCTTTTGTTCACAGAAGACATTCATTCTGTTCTCTCCTCCCTTCCTCACACCCATGCACTCATACCCAAATCATGCTTTTTAATCTTCAGTGTAAATTCCCTCTAAGTAGTACTCACTAAAAAAACCCAAACTAAACAAAAAAAAACCCTATACTTTGTCATCTATCATTTTTCTATAACTCTCTGGAACTAATATCTTCTGCGGAAAACATATGAGGATAGGAATCATTGTGTCCCATCCTCACAGGACTACTTAGCTCCCATTAAATAGTTGATCTTTCCATTTAATTTACAAAGTCCAGTTGCTAAGCAGGGTGGTGGAAGATAGGTTGTGTGACATGACAGCTGGCCATTAAGACACTAAATAAAATTATGGAGTTGCCCAAGGGCATAGAACCCCCACACCAATACTAGAATTACAACTCTTCATAAAGCATCGCTCCAACCATCGCTCTCCGGTACCTGAAGTTTTAACCATCTAAATCTTTCACACCTTGACTCAAAACTTATCTCAAGGCATTGGCAAGTTTTACTTTTCATTCCCTTCTCCAAGTCTTCAAATGCTACTCACCCAACTTGAAACGCTGTCAGCCACGTGGCTCAGATCTACCTCCACCTGGCAGTATCTCCAGCAATGCACGGAGGCACTGCTCTTTCAGAGGATCAACTTGCAATTTACTCTCTCATTACAATATATAAAGCCCATTTTAACACTTGTTCACAAGACACATATCACAGTTCAAGGAATTGCCTATCAATTCATAGTTATAAGGAGATGCCTCAGGTTTAAGAGCCTGAGAATATTTTGTTCTTTTAAAATATGAACTTGATTTTCATTTATAGTCCACAATTTTGAATGTGCATATCTCTCACCAACAAGATTCTGTCTTTAATGATACCTGACAGTTAAACTCTCAACTATTGTGTACAGCTTGGAAAATAGAAGGAAAAATAAACAGGGACGTATCTTTCTAGAAAACTACCATTTCTCTTCCTCTTGTGTGTCTTACATGCAGGTGGGTATGAAATTGCACAGAATGCTACTGGCCTCAGTCCCCCCTACGCTCATTTTCTGAAGTAGTAATATGAGCACCAATATCCAAACACAGTCTCTTTCCAGACCTTAATGCAGCACTGGTACATAATTTCTACCTCACTTTAATCCTGCCTATTCCAGAGAGTACTTTATTTATGCACATACGCATATATTCTTATATGTGTATATATACATATGAGACACAGCATGCTTTTAAACACGAGCTATGATTTTTTTTAAGCCAAAGCTTCTATTCACAGATACAGTAGGACAGTCCAGCCACAACCTACAGATTAAGAAGTGTCAACAGCTACCAAACAGCAACATAGGAGGCATCAATAACCAAGATGATTTTTTAAAATGTAGAAGAAAACAAGAGAGAATACATGATATCAAGACCACTGATCTATTTAGACAACGGTTTAGACTCAAGTCAGTCTTCAATCAATGCTGCTTACATCAGCATCTCTTGGACACATACACAAGAGTATTTAGATGTACTGGAAGACCGGCATGTTGTTTGCCACTTTAAGGGTTAGCCATGAAGTTTTCAGAACTGAAATTTGGAATTATTTTCCAGAAGTAATACTACCTCTTTCTAAGAAATACAGCATCATCAGAACTGTACTTACATGCACCCGCGCTAGCATTACTTAGTAATGGCCAGTAGCCAAGAGACTGTTTGCTGTAATACCTGCTGATCTTTACTTGACAGTATTTCTTACCGCATTCAGAAGGAAAAAAAAAAGGGAAAACCACTTAATTTTAGACATTAAAGCCTGTTGTTGATCTACTGAGTTCAACGCTGGAGAGAGTTACTACTGGTAAACAAAGCCAGTTAACATCATGCATTAAATTCTTTCACCATTCTGCTCCTTGGTGTCTCCAAGCAGGGACTGACAGTTGAGTGGGTTGAAAGAAACAGAATTGTCAAGACAAAACATCACTAGCTCATTGTTTTTTAAGCAGCATTTTGACATTAACCTTGTTTCACGCATTAACTAGCTAACGGCAGTCCAGAACAGATCGTAAATCTACGAGACAAAGCCACCAGCCATCTTCAATAAAACATGATGCAAACTATTGGACAGCTCATGAAGTCGCCGTCAGGTATTTGGGACCTCAGCAACAGCCCCTGAACGCTCCAAAGGCAGCCCCAGTCTACAGCGTAGCGCTGTCCAAGCACCTCACCATTTAAGCACACCATCATCTAAACCTCTGCAGAAGTCCGCTGTGGAGACGGCCACTCTCCCGCCGGTGCTCGGCCGGCTCCTGGCGTAGCTTTTATGTCTCTGCCTAGCTTAATCCTGACCAAAGCAGGCAGCGACAAGCGCCTGTCCATCTTGTCCCGTGCCCAATTCCCTCCCCTCTTCCCGATCCCTGCCCCGCAAGGGACGCTTCGTGCTGCCTTCCTGGGTAACAGGCGAGAGAGGTCATGAGGAAAACGGGGAGGAAAAAAAAAAAAAGGAAGAAAAATGGCCGAAAGAGCAGCATTATGCAATAAGAGAAGAAATGCAATAATAACTCATCCCCTCCCGGAGATTTCTCACAACCTCTGCGGTCTGCGAGCTGGATTACGGAGGGGGCGGCAGCCCGCCCGCGACTCCCCGCCGGCACACAGGGACACCAGAATAACGGCACACGGCAAATTCAGGGCCCTCAGCCCCGGGCCCGCGCTGGGGATAGGAAAACAGGGATGCTCACAGTCCAGGTGCTTTTTCTTGGGCCCCATCACTTCGTGCGTGGTGGCTTTGCAGACGGCCCTGGCCACGGCCGACCCGGTAACGCTGTACTGGGCGGCCGCGATGCGATCCGTCAGGGGCTGGCCCGACA